GCCCAAAATATATTTTTTGTTTGGTGGCCAGAAGCTCCGTTTGAATCGACTCACGTGTACGTGAAGCTGCAGTCTTTGGTTAGCGAGATTCTTTTCGTCGTGCCTTGCTGGATCAGAGATTGGGGGGTATTAGTTTTTTTTTAATTTTTTTTATTTTGAGGGCAACATTTTGATCATTTTGACAAAAAGAGTTCAACGCGCCCAAAGAAATCTACCGATTTCTTGCGTTTCGTCGCTTATTGTCACGCGACTAATAATAGACATACTTGAACTCCAGCTACAGTGATCCAAGTGCTTGACAGAATTTTGATAAATTATTGACATAGCTTATAGCTTTTTGTGTATTTCCGTAAATAAATGAAATTTCAAGTCTAATGTCTTGTATTCACGTGACCAGACTATCTATAGATCATATCTTGATACATGGAAGAGCAGAGCTGTTAATAAAAAAAAATGAAAAATATGTAAGGCAATCGCACAATAAACAATCTTTTTTTTTTTTTTTTTTTTTATTGATAAAATTATAACACGGATTGAGTAAACAATACTTTTCTTATAATATATGTAGCCTCGTATCAGAAATATCATTATCTATGCTGTTTTACATTTGAGTTAACAAAAATACAAATAAAGCGACCATTTTGTTTGTTTGTTTTTTTCAGATTCTTCAAAGCGTTAGAAAAATTCACGGCCGAATGCCCGAATGGTAAGTCAAATGAATTTCACTACAACTATTATATGGCGATACAAACGTGGTCCAACATAAATTTGTTTTTCCCGTTTCCCGAAAAGTCCCACGTAAAAATTGATTTCACATCATTTTCCCAATCGAAACAAAATCCATTGAAATAATTTCAATGTTCACCGCCACCGTTGCCGCGGTGACGTCTTTTACGGTCGCGCGTAGACGCTCGGTTTGCCGACGATGGGGGCAAAGCCCATCCGTCGTCGTCGATCATCTCGCCCCTGACGTGATTTCCTCCGTGAAAAATCCCCGGCTCTGCAAAGGCTAGCCGTCACTTTCCTCGACATCCCGCAAATATGATGATTGACGAGTGCATCCTCGCTCTGCCCACCACATGGCAGCGTCCACGAGACGCTCGTGATGAAATGCTGGAGTTTGCCGAAATTTTACTTTTTTCTTAGATTTTTTGAAATAAGTATATTCACAGCCACGTGTTTACAAACGAGCGCGATTAATGGACGACGCGCGGGTTTATCGGAACCTGCCGCTCCTCCGTTGAATTACCGCCTCGTAAAGAGCAAAACAGATATTTTCACACGAAAACGAATTTCCCACTTGCGGACGGAAGAACATCTCGTTATCTTCCCGATGGTGATGGGTCCACTCTTAAGGCGCCAATAAACCATGCAACCGACAGCTGCCGCCAACTTGACTTTCTCCGAATTTAAGTGTACGCGCAGCCTCGGGACTATACCCTTTTTTTCGATTATCCCATCGGTCGAATGTGCGGACGAACGTGAAAAACCGGCCGTAGAGAGAAGGGAAGTGTAGTCCCGCTACACGTGTGTGCCTTTAGTGGAGGAAAAGCCACTTAGCGCTTATCTGACGCTGCACTGACGAAATTTTCTCGCGTGGTTTTGTTACTTCGAATCGTTCCCCCGACACCTTTCGCGCAGCCGCTTTTAAGCCAAGGGCTCCTTATCCTTATCTTATATTTTGAATATGTAAAACCGAGCTGTGCGTGTGTGTACCACTTGGACTATAGTCGAGTCCTAGCACTCGCAGCCATTAGATACCTATCCATTATCTCTCCTTCCGGCGCTTTGGATTAATAACGATAATTGAATGTCCCAAATTAGGGAATATCAACCGCGTATAGGTTTTCCATTTACCCTTATTTTCGGGGATAGAGGGAAGAAATCAAACCCGCGAATCCCTGAGTCCAGGATTCAACACTTTCGTGGCCGTTCGGTCGGGAAATTTCGTATCAATTACACCTACGTTTGGCTCAGCGGATCGATCGAGCGTGGTAAATCATTTGCATGAAAAATGGCCCCTTTCGGCACTGCAAGAAGAATGAAAAATAGATACAGCCCGTCTCGATGTCTCTCGTGTATAAATGATGGCCCTCGCCCTCCGTTCTCCAAGTAAACGCGGTTACTTATACACATTTTTCGCCCATGCGTATTTCGCGCCATCTATAACCACGTGCCGAAAAAGTTCCTAGTTGTCCACCACACGTGCAAGGATCGATGCGAGAGAAAACACTCTGTGGGAAAAATAATAACAATCGGTGAGTGCGTTGCAAGCGAAAAAGTGCATCTCATGCCCACGACTTGTTCTCCCGCGCTCGTCTCGCAGCGTGCGTATACGCGCGTAACATTACCTCCTCGGCCACCACCGACACTCGCGTCGGATTCACACGCAACAACCGTCTGGCGCCGACCGCGACTCTGTTGAAAAAAAAGGGCACCAGAGAGGCTGCGAAAAAAAAAAAAAAAAAAAATCAGGGCGCCCTGCTGTTTTGGGGATCAAGCGTCGCTCAACGGGAGTCGGCCACGAGCATCGGGGAGGAGCGCTAACGTGGCTCGCGAGGCGCCATCAATTAGCCGCGGCTGAACAGCCTCGATTAATTCGGACCGCAGCGGCATGTTACAATATATACACGAGGGTCTCCTAGCTCGGTTGAGAGCGCACGAAACGTGTGTCCGCGATGCGATGTTTTAACGCTCCGTGGGACGTGTTGAAATTTCGAGGCGCGTCGAAAAAAAAAAAAAAAAAAAAAAAAAAAAACGCACGAGCTTTCGGGAGCGCGTCTACATCGGCGTTGGATGTAATCGACGAGTTTTTTTTTCGTTCCATCATCTTTTTTCTTCCATTTTGAGGAAGGATAATCGCGTGTTTCATGGATTATTCATCTTTGGTTTGCTAATCGCTTTCAAACCATAATCCCGAGATTTGGAGGCCGGTATGCAATATATGATGATTTAGGGGGGTGGATGCGGTTGGTTTTGTTTTGCCCATAATTTAGCACCTCGTTTGCGAATCGGGCGCGCACGAGAGGCAATCGAAAGCCACATTCCTTCTCTTTCTGCCTCCACAACAATTAAAACGCGCTCTCCGATCGAAGGCAACTGTGTTATTTATGGGGACGGAGAGAACAAAAAAATCTCAAGTATCATCTCGAGGGGGAATCGTATAATGAGCCCAAAATATATACTTTTTATTTTATTATTCATTTTCACGTATGAAAATCAAGAGGAATCGTATAAAAGCGCAGCTGGGCAATTAGCGTCCGCGTAACCCGAACCGCAAAGCTTAGGTATGCAGTTCGAGGTCATTTTTTTTTCTGCTCCACGCACTTTTTCCCGCGACTTTCGGTGTCCTTTAGGGGGTACATGTGTATCCACACGGAGTTGCGCGTAAGGAGCTGACCTCGGAAGCGGACGTCCCGCGAAACAGGAGGAAATAGAGCGAGCTGCGTTTCTCCGATCGCGAACGAGGCCAACTCTCGGCATCACCGTGGCATTTTTCGCTCGTCTGCTTTTTATTTTCACCAACTTCCGTCTTCGTCTCTTTCACCACCCTCTGCTTTCTCCTTCGCGCGTCTCATCGCCCGCTTGCAACGACTCTTTTGCTTTTTCAAGGTCCGTGGTACCCTCCCAGCGGTAATAGAATATACATCTCCGTGGTCTGGTCTGTTTGCGATTTTCGTGAAAATATATATATATACTTACGGATCATCGCGATGGAAAGCAATTTGATACTTTAGCACGTTTTCACAATCATCCGAGCACCTACTTGTGAATTTATATCTACATGCATGTATGAGAAGGAAACAATGCGTCATAGAAATTCCGGATAAAACGCGTGCGTACCTCTACGTATTCCATCTGAAAGAATTCATGCGTGTCCGAGCGCTTGTCGTCAATAACGGATATACATGTTTCGAGTAACTGTTCAATCCTCAACGCATACCTGATAGATCCAGACAAGAAAACCAATGACAAATCTCCATGAGCACGCTAAATGCGTGGTTTTTTTTTTTCTATTTCGCACCAGAGATAATGTCTCATTGATTTTGTATGTTTGTTTTATTAACAATTTCATTACTCCTGATGAATTTGTAATTTGACCCTGACGAGATGAATTCGAAAAATAAATACAATTTACGTGCATGACAAAGAATATCGGGGCATAATAATTTCTCCCGATAATTGTATGCGTCCTAATATGCATAAACTGTTAAATTAAAAAATAAAAAGGCAATGCTACTTTCCATTAACTTGGTAGTTTTCTGAGCACAACGGCAAGGTTCGACTATGCGGAGGTGAATTTCCTTTCGTTATCCGCGTAAATTCCATTCGGATGACGTCACAGGGATCGATTAAATTTCGACACGATTCTTCCTTGGGAGGGGCCCCGTTATACTGTGGTGTAGATGCTGATCACCAGGCAATCGTCGATCAACGCGAACCAGGTGGTCGACGCGTCGATATTCTCGAAATCAATCAACACGTGCTTTTTCCCTTCTCTCGTTTAATAAGCGTTTCTACCACTACCGAACAATATACACGTGTGCGCGAGTTAATGCACCGCCGGCGTCTCGCGCGTTACGAAAGACACCGGGCTGCGTTCTTTTCGATTTCGTTTTGTAAACCAGAGCCTTTCTCCTCCTCCTCCTTGCAGGGTGAACGGATCTCGAAAAATGCCCGATGATTGCCGGTCTCCGCGCGACCTATTGAAAAGGCGCACAGAATACGTCGTTTGAATGGTAATTTGACGACTACGTCTCCTACCGATTGTGCCCATACATTCGGTTGCAAGCGATTGTCCCTCGGCGATTTAACAGTATCCGATTTTTCGATTTTTAAATCAAAACAAAAATGAGCATTGTATACGTAGCTGTACGGTATAACGATCGTGAGTTGAATTACTGTGAATGCATATAAATATGTATATATAGGGGTACGTGTTTGAACGTCAATTAGCGGCGCAACAGCTTTCAAAACGAGCGCGAACGTCGTTATTATTCGAAATCGGTTTTTTTTTTTTTTTTTTTTACTCAAGTGCGATTTCTCAGAAAGGCTCTTTTTTTCCTCGTTTTCTTCATGACTATTAAAGTTAATATGTGTACAGAGATACGGTGGCCTCTTGCGTTCGATTGATCGGTCCCGAAAATCGGCACTTCAGTACAACTCTGGTGCGAAAACCACGAGAGCCGCTCTCTCATTATCTTCTCGGTGTTACGTGTCGGGCAGATTTAAAAAATATTTTTTTTCGAGTATCGTTGAAACGAATGATCGATTACGCAATACGTGGGCGCTCGGTATCTCCAGTATAGTAAACGAGTTAGTAATGCACCGATCGGAATACCTGTAAGTTTGACCGAAACGCGGGAGGTAGGAGAGTTTATTTTGTTGAACAAGTTGTCGGCCAATCCACGCGTGTACCGCAGATTGCATCACGTGAGATGTAAAAGTCAAGGATTGATGGAAAGCCTTTGTAATTGTTGTACCTGTTTACGAGCTATTGCAATTTTTTTTTTTTTTTCTTTTTTTCTTATTCATACACATGTACCCATACTCAATAAACTGGTTTGTTTAGCTGTAGTCGTAATGTTGTTGCTCTGCTTTATTTTTCAGATGAAGTAATTGGCGTTCACTGCACTCATGGTGTAAATCGGTCTGGTTATTTGATATGTCGGTAAGAACAAGCAAAAGACCCTGAAAAACAAACAATTTCTTAACACGCAGCCTATACATATATATATATTTTCACGCAGATTATTTATTGATTAACCTTGCTAAGCTACGGTAGCTCTCTTGTAATTTTTCTGACAACCTGCAAAAAATCCAAAAGTATACATGACTATGATTGACATTTCATTAGTAAGGAAAATCACTGGAGAACTATGTTTCATATAAATTGTAATCATGTATTGAGTACAAAGTTTTCATTAAAAAGTCAGTCGATTGAGAATAATTTATACCTATATGATAACTCAAAACTTGGCTTCTTCAACCAAATCAAGTTTTGAAAGTTGATTAATTCAAAAACAAACTATTACGTCTACAGGTATCTTGTGCAACAGCTAGGTTGGAAACATGCTGATGCCTTGAAAGGTAACGCTAATTTACACACGTTTTTTTTTCTTTCTTTATTTTGAAAAGAATTCCACAGCAGAGTTACGTTTTTCGGTACTCGCTGCTTTTATGTCAAAGATGTACGACAATATTTCCATTAGTTCTATTGTTGATACCAAATTTTAAAAAAAAAGTTGATTGAGTATGTCATTTGACTATATACCATACTCAACTTCAAATCAACGCATACGCACACACGCACAATGTGTTAGTGCATAAGTATTGCATAACAATGAAAATGTCACCTTTGGAAAAATTACATTTGAACTCGCAATGTTTCATAACTATATGAGCTGATAATACAATGAGAGAACAAAGAAAAAAATCGAGCGGAATAAATAGAGCAATTTGCCGCTGCTGTGATTTCAGGCTTCGCAGAGGCGCGCGGGTACCCGCTTGAGCGCACCACCTACATCAGCGATCTGAACCGCAGCCCCATCGGCACGAAGATCGACGTGAGCAAGGTGAACCTGAACGCGCCCATCAAGACCAAGTCACGGCAAGCCATGAAGCACCACGGCAACCGACCGCCCTTCCATTCCGCTCTGGGACCTCCCATCGTCATGCCACCGCCACCACCCCGACGCGGTTACCTAAACGGTGGTCCCTTCCACCAACCGCCACCTGGCAAATTTGGCCTGCCACCGAGAGGTCCTGGCTACGGGCCCCTACGCCATCCGCCAACGATGCCCGGTCCCCTACCGCTGGCGCCACCCCGAGGCCCGGCCATGTTCGGCCCACCACCGAGGATATTGCGAAGTGGGCCCTTCGGGCACCCGGGATCCCTGCCTCCGCCATCGATGCGACACGGGCCACCGATGGTACCACCGGGGCCGCCATTACCTATGCGCCTCCTGCCTGGCCCACCGAGGCCGCCGGTGATGGGCCCACCAGGTCCACCGCCCAGATTACCCCGGGTCGTGCCACCGCGCCCTGTTCTTCCAATGGTACCCGTCCCGCCCAGGATGCCCCCGGCCAAGATACCCCGTCTCAAGGGTGTGGCTCCGGGCCGTACTGGCATGCGCTCTGCCTCCAAACAGCAGCACAAGCAACAACCGCAACAGCAACAACAGCAGCAACAACAACAACAGCAGCAGCAGCAACAACAACAACAACAACAACAGCAGCAGCAGCAGCAGCAACAACAGCAACAGCAGCAGCAGCAGCCGATCAAGGACCAGGACTTTACGGTGGACGACTTTGAGGAGAATTTGGCGGCCAAGCCGGTGAAGCCCAATCGCAAAAGGGCTTATCCGAGGCACTGACGCTGAGCCCTGCGCCGCTACTTTTCTGTTCAGGACGCGCCGACGAGGATGAGGGGTAGAATGTTTTTACCGCGTGGCCGGCATATCGGCTGACACCGTCAGCTGGTGTCTCTGTGTGTGTGTGTGTGTGTGTGTGTGTGTGTGTGTATGCGTGTGCGTGTGGGTCACTTTTGAGCGTATAAGTGAACAAGCCGCCCCCTTCCCTCCCATTTCTTCCCCACTGTTTTACCATTTTATTGTATTTTTACACCTTTGAGCGACACAAAACTGATCGGCTCCTTCATTTTATCACTCCTCCCTCTCGCAATTCATTCCTTGCGATTCTCCGTCTGAACAATAAATTAATTTTAACGTTTTTCGTTGCTTTTTGTTTATTTATTTTATTTCATTTTTATTTTTATTTTTTCGTGTTTTATTCGCGCACGGTATGCTTGCGGCATGTGTGTACCATGACGATGGATACAACAATGTACTTTTTATACCTACCGCTGAGCCGACCAGTTTCGTTGTCCTGGTAAAGAATGAACTATCGAATGTAATTTTTTTTTTTTTTTTTTTTTTTTTTCGGTCCTCCAAACTTTCTCCCGAGATCTCAGAGTTATCGCATTATATGTAAGATGATTACTGCGTGTCTTTTTGTTCTTTTTTTCTCTCAACGGAGAATCGAAGATCCACCCCCTCCCTTCTTCCCACTTCAATGACACAAGCATACACGATTGATGAGACCTCATTTATGTAATTTAATTGCATCCATGTATTGTAAACAATTAGTACGTATATATACATACAGATATATATATATATATACATATACACCATAAAACATTGTGTACTGCGACCTTGGAGTTGCATCAGTTTTTTAAATACAAACGAATAAATCATCGTTCTGCATAAACACATCATATGAATCATTGCGCATGAGATTCCTCTCACGCTGAGCTTACCTAATTTTTTTTTTTTTACTAACCTAGTCATAAGAAAAAAAAAAAAAACCATCATCGCTTGGAGCACCAGATCGGTGGTACCAGCTGCACAATGCATACACGCAACATTCTCCCACGTGAAACGATCCTCGGCACACAATGAGCAGTTAGATGTGCACTAAGCGTGTATTTACACACACACAGTGTAGGCGCGTCACTTGCAAAATTCACGATAATAACAGCATCCATTCGCGAGAGCTCGGCTCAACGACCGGCTTGTGTCCCGAGTTATTTAATTGAGAAGTCTATCCGATCCGAGGAGCACGTAATCCAATGCGCTGGTGAGCGCAATAACAAATGTAACTGACAATCGGCCGATAAGATCGGACATCCATTATTCTGCTCCCCCCCCCCAAGCATACACTTAATATTAGTTAGGCCTTACCTATACATACGCTGTTTTTTTTTTTTTTTTTTTTTTTTTTTTTTTTTTTTTTTCTATAGTCGAGGGGCGCCTAATACATTCCCGCGCTAATGGCAACGCAGTTGATGAAACGCGCAGAGTCTCGATAATCACACACCGCTCTGCGCTGGTTCGACTTGCTCGTGAAATGCATCATCCGTTTGAGGGTACTTTAGCATCCATAAATATCGTGCTATAATTGAGTTTCACGTGCTTATCGTTATTCTGTTTTTGTTATTATGTAATGTGCACGCTCTCGGGTATTACTGTATCTTTTATTCATTTTTTTTTTTTTTTTTTTTTTTTTTTGCTTAGTTTAAATTATTATTACGTGGCGCTTTTAAGTTCAGAGTTGCTCGTGTGGTTCGTCCGAGGTGAGAAGCCGAAAGAAGCCTTGGTACAATGCCGTGAACGAATACGAAGCTACTGATCCATGTCAAATGGAGTCCGGACAAAGATGGTAGCGGGGAAATTTTACTTCTTAAAACTAATTCGAAATTATAGACCAAAAGTAGTAAAAAGAAATAGTCATCCCTGTTTGCGGTGGAAAATTTCGTGAAATTACTTCCTGTAAATTCTTATGGCGCGTAGTATGCGCTGACGTCAACTTGATTTTAAATTGTTTCTCCGCTGCCAAACTGCTGTATTTTAACATGTGGGTGACCGTCCTGAAAACTAATGAATAAATTAATTAAGTTTTATTAAATAAATATAAAATGTTACATTTTGACAATTTTCTAACGACCCAAAAAAAAGTAGAAAAATCGTAGTATGAAAATAAAAATAATTCCGTACTCGTACCAAGAGATTAAACGACGTATCGGAACCCTGACGCAATGTCATCAATTTTATTAATTTACGACACACATCCATCTCTCACGCTTGGTGTACTTGGTGAAACACTTAGAAGAATAATTTATTAAATTTCTCTCTATTCTCTGTACATGCATACACTATTTTATTCAAGGCTCTACTATAGTATACGTTTTACTCTCGCTAAATTTTAATATCGTTAGTTGAGGAACCCCTCACAGTTGAATCTTACGAGGTCAATATGCTTTTTATTTATTTATGTTTTTTCAAAAAATACATACTTTAAGACGACGTCAAGAAGAGAGGAAAAAATTCCCATCAACTTTCTCGCGATAAACCGATCGTCTCGATTTTTAGGCAACTCTCTCTCCGATTGCGCCACGCTTGTACATTGTTCTCGCAACTCGCTCAATGCCATCCTCAACAATGAAATTACAAATTGTTTGCCCACGGATTTTCAATCGCCAATACACACGCGCGCGCCACCCATTCCTATATATATATACACGTGCAGCAAAATCAAACAATCTTATCTCAGCCAGAAATCCAGCTCTCCCAGCCAACGCCGATCGATTAACACGTACACGTATACATATATGTGCGCGCAATATCAATTCGCCCTTTGCACCGTGAATATAGCTGCGCGCGCGTGTGAGTCGTGGCGGGCGCCTCGCCGTACGGGGGATTACGAGAGCGTGGGCGGGGAGAGATATAGCTTTCTCCCTCGCGCGCCAGAGTGACGTCGGAATGCGAAAGGCGCGTGCGATTCCTCTCCGCGATGCGCCCCCCCCCTTCCCCAATTTTTTTCGTTTCGTTCGGCGCGATGGGCGATTAATGAGATTTTTTACGTGTTATAAATGCCCGCGTTTTTTCTCGCGCAATTATATCCCTCGATCGATACTTATTTGCTCCGGTGGCAAACGATATGTATACGGCTACTTGGAGGAATTTCGGCTCGAGGAGGCAATCCGCAAAAGAGTTGGCGAAAGAGGGACGGGGGGGGGGGGAAAGGTTACACAGGGTTAGAGAGAGAGAGACTCTCTGCCGCGACGCTGAAAAAGACGGGCATTACCTATACGCCCTCCTCCTCGCGTTCGTAAATCAGACGTCTCTCGCAGCGGAGTCTCTCGGCGATATCGTATCTCTTTTTTTTTCTTCCCTTTCTATACGGGCTAACTTTTCTCCCCCGACGCACGTGCATGTGGATTTATACCTACGTGCAAGTATGGATCGAGAAAAGCAATCGCGATTTCGTCTCTGACGAAGACGCCCGTCTATGCTATATGTATACAGGGGGAGGGAGGAATGTGAGAGTTTCCCGGTGCAACGCACCTACATCTTGATTTCGAGGTATTTTCTTTCGGGATTTCTTCTCCAAGGGGCGGGTTCACCGCTTTGCTGCTACTCCCTCGAAGGTCGCGCATCCGTCCGATTGGCTTTGGTTGTGCGCGAGTACGACCTTCACCGTATAAATATACTATGTGTAGTTTTATTCTCATCAACTGCAGCAGGTGCGCATCTAATTCCTCTGTCGCATCGAGTCGCAGTTCAACACGGGGGCGCGGTTAATGTTTCATTTTGATTGGAGTCGTAAAAAATAAAATATCGCCTATTGCCGAAATATTTATAAGAAGTGACTTGCGTGTGGTCGAATACACGAAGCATGTTAATATGTCGCGGGGTGTGCGGCGAATAAATCATATTTTTGCGCAAGATGAAATTTTTTTTTTTTTTTTTTTAAGGGGGGGGGGGACAAAAAAGTCACCAAATAGAGGCCGATATCTTACTCTTGGGCTTTCGATTTCGGCTATAAATCGCACACGAAATGAAATATCAGAGAGGACAGAGCCGCGCGTAAGTCTGCGGTAGGTCCAAGGCGGGTGAAATAGACTCGGGGGGGGGGGGAGTACACCCGAGGCACACCGATCTAAATCGCTCAGATACGCGTATAGGCTGCAATTAATTCCCGCTGGATGTTATTATGGACCCTCGGATATATACCTGATGGTCACTCTGCTGTATTGCGAAAGCGTTTGTTTGCATTTTTGAAGAAAAAAAAAAAAAAAAAAAAAAAAGTTCCCTTAGTCTTGCAAATAAGTACAATTTTGTATATAAGAACTACAAACCCATCACTCCTGTAAAGCAGACAATTAAACACACGAGCTGCCGCGTAATAGTACAACTACCGGCGAGCTACCGCTGTACGAGGTGGGTTTATAGCGCGTCCTACTTAGCGATCGGCTCGATTAACATGCGGTGGTGATTAATAGCGCTCTCCCTTTCTCTCCGTGTGCATCGAAAACCCGCAGCCCACCCGACCCCTGCAAACTCGTCAGATCTAATCGCGCGATATTTATTGCCCCTCTCTCTCTGCGCTCACCTTCACGCTTTCTGTACACATGCGCCGATCATGATCCTCCTCCCCAAACCTTATATTCGTTCCTCTTTCCCTCCTATATTGGTACTGCTGCGGGGGGGTCTCCGGCTCTCCCGTGCAGTTTTGTTTTGTTCCTCGTGCTCCCACGGCTGGTCTGGCTTCCCTTCCTCTGCTTTCGCGGTTTCCTCCCCCCCCCCCGCCCCCCGAGCCCCAAAGTATCGCAGAGACTTCCTCGATTCCCTCTATACCTTCGCTTGCGGTGTCCAGGGGTGGCTCTAAGACTGATCTAGTTTTCGGTTATTCTCGGAATACGCGCGCACACGCGCTTTTGTTTTTGTTCGTCTGTGGCGGTTCGTGTAGGGCTTCGGCTGCGCTACTCGTCAAATATGCCCAAGCGAAATTCCAACCCCCACCCCCTAACATGTTGAACGTAACGCGTGGAGCTGATGTGTGTGTACGTGTATTGATCGTCGGTCGATACGCAATTATGAATATACGTATATTCGATGGCAATAACCCCCCCCTCCCAGACGAAAAGAATTGCCGCGGACTTGGATTCAACGGCAAACTTTTTAGCGATGCAAACAACGCGCTCTCGTGTACAAGTACATACATATACACCCACCGTCTCTGGGTCTAGGTATATATAGTAGCATAGTCGCGAATGATGCAGCGCTTTTAGAGTATACAAGTGCATATGTATGGTAGTGTCCGTGTACACACACGTGTAAGGGCGTCTCTTTGGGCGTGGTGTGCGTGTGTACACGCGTTGCGTCAGCGTGGCTCTGGCGCCGCGTCCGTCTGCGACTTGCTTTTGCGTCAGCGGTCCCGCGAAGAGAGCCACCACCCTCTTCTCCTGCTTTCTCCCCCCCCCCCGCGTCCATCATACGGAAAACGGCGAACTAACTTTTTGGCTGTTCAATGACGCTGCTGTGAATGATGATTGCCTTTTGCGATCTATATGTACATATGTTTTAATTTTG